GGGATAGTGACGTAAGCATGCCGTTCATGATTTGTATCGACTTCTTCGACGTCGGTGTTGGGAGGTCGGAGAATGCCCGACATTTGTCGGGGTTGGCTTCAATCCCTCGTTCTGTTAGGTAGAATCCAAGGAATTTTCCTGCCTTAACCCCGAACGTGCATTTCTCGGGGTTGAACCTCATTTTGCACTGTCTTGCTTGGGTGAAGACTGTCTTGAGATGAGCTGCGTGATCGGTGTCTGCTCGGGATTTGACGATCATGTCGTCCATATATACCTCGAGCATGTCACCGATCTGTTTGTTGAAAACTCTGTTCATCATACGTTGGTAAGTTGCTCCGGCGTTTTTCAGTCCGAAGGGCATTACGTTGTAGTAATAGTTGCCCGAGCTGGTCATGAATGCCGTGCAGTGTTTGTCGCCCAGAGCCATTGGGATTTGGTTATATCCCGAGTAGGCGTTCATGAACGACAAAGTCTTGTAGCCGGCCGAGTTGTCGACCAGTATGTCTATGTTAGGTAAGGGAAAAGCATCCTTCGGGCAAGCCCGGTTGAGATCGGTATAGTCAACACACATTCTCCATTTTCCATTATTCTTTTTCACAAGTACAACATTTGACAGCCAGGTGGAATACCAGGCTTCAGAAATAAAATTTTCCTCTAGGAGGTCTTTTACAGCTTTTTCAGCAGCCTCCGTTTTTTCTAGAGACTGCCTGCGCCTACGTTGTACTACGGCCTTGGCGGCTGGATCAATGGCGAGGTGGTGACAGGCGACCTCAGGGTCGAGTCCGGGCATCTCTGCAGCGCTCCAGGCGAAGAGATCAGCATTCTCGCGCAGACAGGCCTTGATTTGCTTCCTGGCCAAGTCGGGGAGGTCTTTACCAATCTTCACTCCCTTGGTCGGGTCTGTGCCGAGGGGAACGAGTTCAAAATCCCCGTCCAGAATTGGTCGGAGTGGGATTTGCTCGCTGCTGGATGGCTCATCCTGATCAAAGCGAGTGTCGAGGGCTATGGAGTCGACCTTTGGTGGGGCCTTCTGGACTTCTTCCTCGGGGGATGCTTTCCTGTCGGGCTCCTGTTTTGTCCTCTTGGCGGGTCTGATCCCTACGTCGACGGTATCCCGTCCTTTAGAAGCAGCATTGAAGCACCTACGGGCAGCGGCTAGGTCTCCTTGGATGGTGGCTACCCGTGCCCTTTTGGTGTAGAACTTCATCTTCAGGTGGACGGTCGAGGGCACCGCCGTCAGCTCCCCCAGTGTCGGTCTCCCCAAGATGCAATTGTATAGAGACGGGCAGTCAATGACGAGGAAGCGGACCTTAACCTGTCTCGTAGCCGTTCCTTCGCCGAACGTAACCAGGAGCTCGACATAACCCCACGGTTTGGAAGTCGAGCCGTTGAAGCCTTGTAGATCCGACCCCACATACGGAGAAAGATGTGAGTCGTCCAGTTGTAAGGTCCAGAACAGCTGGCTGTACATCACGTCGACGGAACTCCCTTCGTCGACCAGGATGCGATGCACGTTAAAATTGGCCATTTTTGCCCTTATCAGTAAGGGGATGACCGCGTTCGGGGCTCCGCCGGGGAGTTCTTCTAGGTAGAAGGTGATGGGCTCTGACCTGCCCTTCACCCTTCACCCTTTCGAACGTTACAGTTTGTGGAGGAGCTATGTCGACCAGCTCGTCCAACTTCCTCTTAGCTGAATTGATGGTGAGGTCGTTGAACCCGCCCCCGTTGATGACCATGGCGGAGGGAAAGTATTCCCACCTGCTGTGTGTTGTCAGGGGCTCCTGCAGGAGCTCGGGAATGTCGAAATCCTCGGGCCTGGTTACCGAGAAGGCGGTCTGGATAGGCACCGACTCGTCTGATGGTCGGGCGTCTTCTTCGGGCTCCTTGGTTTCATGGGCGTCACGACGGGGAGTGTCGTTTCGCCTGTACTGTGCGAGCCTCCCTCCCTTGATGAGGGTTTCAATGGCGTCCTTGAGGTGGACGCAGTCCTCTGTCAAATGACCATGACTCCTATGGTATTGACAGTATTTATTTTTATCCGCCCCTGGCTTGGCGGGAGTAGGTCGGGGACGCTTGACGCCACCGTCTCTGAAATCTGTACTGGCACACTCCGCCAAAATACGCTCGCGGGAAGCTGTGTGCAGAGTGTACTCGGTGAAACGGCCCGAGGGGCCCCTTTGTTCCCGGACTTCCCGGGGTCGATCTTCTTTCCTTTTCTCCCCGGTACGTCGGGGAGGAGGCTCTTGTCGTGAGCTGCTGCTGTTGTTGGGACCGCGAGCCCTGGAGTCTCGGGCCCTGTTGGCAGCTTCCCTCTCCTCGTAGTCCATGTATGCTCGGGCCTTGTCGAGGAGGGCATCAAAAGTTGGAGGTGGCTCAATACCCACAGCCTTTCTGAATTCTGTGCCGGGGAGGAGACCCCTCTCCAGCAAGTATCTTTTCATATGGTCCGCGCAGGGGACCTGTATTGCTTCTCGGTTGAAGCGGTTGATGAACTCCCTCAAGGTTTTATCCTGTCTTTGGATGATGGCCTCGAGGGCCGCCTCGGTCTTCGGATGGCGCCGAGAAGCTGTGAAGGAACTGATGAACTGGTTCTTCAGGTTCCGCCACGACGTGATTGAGCCTGGGGCGAGTCCTTTATACCAGTCCATGGCCGCCTTCCTGAGAGTCGTGGGGAAAAGACGGCACTTGATGGGCCCCCCGACATTATGATAGTGGAGCATGGCTTCGAACCCGTCAATGTGGTCGACCGGGTCCGCTACTCCGTCATATTCCTTCAGATGCGGGGGCTTCTCCATGCCCGGGGGGATGGGTGCATCCATGATGGTCTGCGACAGGGGACCGCGGGGGTCGTCCTCGTCGCTCCTCTCCGGAGAAAGAGATGGGGACCTGTAGTTTTGTCTGGCACGGTGGTCGTGCTGAGTTTCCCTCGAGCGTGATGCTCGGTGGTTGAATGTCACACGCCCGTCCCCGGCGTGCCTCTTGTCGTGCCTTGACGGGTCGCGACTGGGTTCTCCGGCAATGATGGCGGGTTATCTCTCATAGTAGGGCCGCCTCTGCTTTGGCCGGGGAGAGGGGCTCCTGGAGTTCTCCCTGTAGTGTCTCCGCGGGGGAGAAGGGTGTCGAACTTCTAAGACCCGAGGAAGTGGAGAATGTGGCCTCCGATGCCTCCTCGGGGGTCGTCGATCATCTTCAAGTGCCCTTAATCTTTCTCCTTGGGCGAAGATGAGATAGTTTGTCTGATTAATGGCCGCGAACAGTGCCTGAGTCGTGGCATCTGCCCCGGCGGGAACTGGGACTTCATGGAATCGGGCAGCTCTGTAATGAGCGAGAGCTACCGGGTCGTCTTCAAGGGCTGGTGGGGTCGATGAAGATGATGCAGTAGCCCCGTCCCTGTAGGAGGAAGTTCCAGGGGCGGTCGTCACAGGAATGGTACTGTGGCCGGGATCACCGGGGTTGTCGAGGTGTCCATTCTTGTCCGCGGTGCCGTTATTAGTGTCGGCGACACGGACGTGCTGCTCGTCGCGAGCTGGATCAGCCATGACAGGTAGTTGAATTAAGCTTTGGTCTTTAGAGTTGTTCGTTAGACGGGGAAGCTAGTTTCCCACAGACGGCGCCACTGATCTGACCTGATCAGAAATGGACCGTCACGGCTGGCTCCGAGCAGAAAGCTTTTTGAACGAAGTGGGAGGGTACCTGCAAGGCACTCTGATGCTGAAGTAAGTAGGAGTACGAGCAGATAATAGCAAGTGTAAGGTTAGAATGATGAATACCTGACCCTCTGGAAGCAGAGGGTATTTATAGCCCCCAGCGCTGGGCCAAGGTTCCTTCATTGGGCCGGACAGGTTTGACCCAATGGAGGAACTGCCAGGTTCTACGTGCGTAGTGGGGACCCGCGCGTGATTCCCTTCCTGGATGTTCTGCGTGAAGTGCGGGCGGACGGAGACGCGGTCTTTTTGGGGTATCGTTGGGGGGACAGTGGACTGAGTCTGTCCTAGCTGGGGTGCTCGAGTTAATGTCGAGCTGGACCTCAGGATGTGGTGCTGGACCGCAGCATGTCGAGCTGGAGGTGTGCTGTCGAGCCTGCGATTACCCGTCGGGCACGGTCGTGCTCTTTGGTCGGCATGACCCTTGTAAGTCCATTTGGACTGGACCTTTGCAATGCTTTTGGGCTTGTCGGGCCCAGTCCAGAACAAGACTATATAAATCAATTTCAGAAAACTCAATCAAAGAATACAAAAGCAAAAGTGTTGTTAGGCTTCCTTATAAGTTTGAGTGGCTATAAGCACCACACACAAAGTGGAGTCTGACGGGAATCTTTCTATCTTGTGCTAAGAGAATATATACTACTATACCGGATTTGCAATACAATACACCGATTTGTCAATTCATGTTAACCACTTAACTATAGTATATAAAGTAGGAATGATTAAAAACTAGTTATTAATTCCTGAAAAAGTGTAGATCAAGTTAATACTTAATTTGAGTTTTTCATCCAAGTCTTCCTCACCCACCACTAAAAGAACCTTTACATTTGAGGTCGAAATGAAAAGAATTCAAACAATTGAATAACAAAGAGAATATATTTATATCAACTATGACTCAATGAGATTAATCATATATTTTAGTAAAAACTTAATTAAAAAGCTAAACGTAACCTGTGACACAGCAAACAAAATTTCCTAATCAACATTTTTGTATTAATCTGTTCGCTAACTTTACCTATATAACACATATAAATCATATAACAAAGATTCTATTCGTTTCTTTTGAAGCAAATTTTTTTCACGATTCCTTCCAACAAAGAAAACAAAAGCAACCAATCAATACTACTATATACAATATTCTCTTCAAGGGTACTTTCGTCAAATCAAACAACACTAAACTCTATATATCACCATCGAACAAAAACATTCCCATAAGAAAATATAAACTTTCAAATTTTTCATAGTGTAAATCCAAAACTTACCTCTAAGAAACAATAACACAAACAGATTGAAGGCATGTTCGCTAAGAAGCTTACAACTGTTAACCCCTTCGCGAAGAAACGATCGCAACACGTCGTCGTTTCATCGACGGCAAACGCGAATGCAAAGAAGCTATGGAGGCTTCCGCACGTCTTCGCCAGAATGCTCGAGCTTCCCTTTCCTTCAGACGCCGACGTTTCGATCGAAGAAACACCGCAGTTTTTCCGATTCGTTGCTTCATGCAACAAGACGAATATTTTCAATTCCGTTGGTGTGCGTGCTCACGCAATCGAGATTCTTCCGGGGATAACTAAAATTGTGATAAAGAGATTTGACGGTGGTGATGTAGTGGTGGATGGTAAGCAGGAGAGACGGTCTTCTTTTAGTGTTGATTTATGGCGGTTTCGGCTTCCGCCTTGCACGCAGCCGGAGAGAGTTACCGCCGTTTGCATCGGTGGGAAGTTGGTAGTGACGGTTCCCAAAACCAAAGCGTAGAACGAGTACACGAGAGGCATGCAGTTTACGCCGTAGTATGTATATATTCCTCTTTAGAGGCTAAATTCTTCACGGGACTCATAGTCACACGTATGAATTTATAACATGTATATATGAATTTGGCCTCTTTTTTTCATTCTAAATAAAACGAGGATTTCATGCCATATAAACTTACATAATAATTTCCTCATACACAAAAATCTATCTCTTTACAAATGTTTCAATAAAATAATTAGCCTATACTATTTTTTATAGATTATTTATGAAACTATTAGACACACATATAGTGTTGTACATAATGAACAATAAAAACCATGTATGTTTGATTTAGACATGGAGCATGGAGCATGGAGCATGGATTAATTCATTTAGAGTTGTTATATATTGATATGTACATTCTCCGATTTCACCTAAAAGTATTTGGGTCGGACTTGAACCCGATCGTAGCCAATCTAATTTATTTATAGGAAAGAATTAGGTCGAATCACTTTTAATAGCCTAAGTTAAAAAGACCAGTTCAAGAGCAAATACAATTCATTTTTTACGAATTTTTATTATATGTACGTATTTAAGTTATTGTATAGCCTTAAAAGGTCGGTAGTACAAAGAAACATGAGATTTGATTTTCTTTATTGTTTTCAATTAAGCAAGGAGACTTGTCGTAATGACAAATAAATCAATTATAAAAAACTCAAAGTAGAGAAAATCATATATTAACTAACAAACACTAAATATAAAAGACAAACTTTTTATACAATTAAAAGTGTGACTCTTATTGATATAACCTCGATAGAGTGATCAATAGTGTATTGGGCGGGTGGATCCGTAAATATGATCCTTCTTTAGTTAGGAATTAGAGGTCGTTGACATGACATTACCATAATATCATCTATTTTCTTTTAGGTATATGATAATATTCTTTTGCACATATATAAAAATATAGAACCTTAACTATAGGCTTCATATATTTAAAATTGATATTTTTAATAACATTTCTACGAGTGTTGATAGATGGTTGTTCCTGAAAAATACTTTTGGATAGTCTTTCTGACATGAATCAGGTGACACCTCAACAGTTTCGGATAGTCCCTCCCAAAGTGTATGAGGTGAGATCTCAACAATTATGCGACTTTGAGACTATGGGCGCGCGTATGTATTTTTTATATGTTGTTATATGGCTTAGTTGTTTTACTTCTATGATTTCTCTTTTATACCTTAACCTTTATAACCTGCATTCATTAACTAATGATCATCCAACTCCCATAATTAATGGTAATTTCTAACTCTCGCCGCTGTAATCATGACATGAAACGCTCTTCCAATGATTTTCATAACTTTCGTACGCTTATTGGACTGCTGTAACTGTCACACCGACTTGGCACTTTGGTCTTCCGACTAGGCATGCCTCTCGTCCTGCCCGACTTCATTCATCGACTCCAGATAGGTGCATCCCCCGTCATCCACGACTTCATATCTTTGCTCCGACCCATTTACGTGCTCCGGTTACCTACAACTGACTTTCTCAATTTGTTCAGCACATATCCTTCGTCCAACTTATAAACTGTCTTAAGAACTTTGGGGTGTACAATGGTAAATCTATTTTTCATATATCTAATTGACATTAATTATATTTAAAAATATGATTAATTTAATTAAATTGATTGTTAAGAAATGTTGTTAGACCTAACTCATATTTATAAAATCGATTTTTAAGTGACGATTGTCTCAATTTATAAATACATACTAGTAAACTACCTGAGCTCTGTAACACCCTCTAAAAACCCCGAATAAATTTTCGCAAACACTAAAATCATAATATCAGAGTACATGTATAATCGAGGATGTCACAATTCTCTTTTAATAAAACAAATTCCTGTCATGCATAACGTAGTAGTAACTCATACATGTTTACACAGCGGAATACTTTAATTAATAAAATCAATGTTATTAATATTTTCTAAATCATCAGGGATTAACACCTGGAAAATGTCAACATCATATTATAACAAAACATGAGGAATTAAACGAGTCTGACTAAAACAGCTCGACAAACAAGCGTTCCCGGAGTTACAACTATCAGAGCATGACCCAGACAATACTAAAACGAAAATAAACTAGAACGACAAGCCTCCGCCAAGCACCTGAACGAAGCTCCTCAATCTGAAATATTCAACAGTAAGGGTGAGCATCTCAATTATACATTTGATTATACGTTCATAACAATCAATTCAGGAAATCATAAGCATCACCCAATAATTATATTTCATAGTTTACAAAAACCTTTACAATTCATATACCCATGATATATTACTTTTCACATTTGCAAATAATCATCAAACATCGTCAACCATTTAGCAACCATACGTGCCTACAAACAATCAAATACAACATTGGAAAAATCATCCATTCATGTTATATTCAAGGTAATGCAACACACCCATGCATGTGGTACCACTTTACCGCCCCATTAAATCTCGGGTCACGGATAACTCACCATTCCATTATATCGCGGACACGGCTACCACCTCAACGTTCCATTAAATCGCGGACACGTATATTGACCACCATGTTAATTCCACACAATGGGAATTAACAAATGCAACATGATATGTGAGTATGTAACACTCAGCATACTATGAACATTGTTGTACCCCAAAATTTGCCCTCGCGCTTTTCCACGAGAAATCTCAGCTTCAAACATTTCCTGACTTCTCAAACTGACTCAAGAATTGGACAAACGGACCTTTCTTGACAGTCAAGCAAAACTAGGGTTTTTACTGATTTTCAGAGCTCTGAATTGTTTCATACAGTGGGCTTAGGGTTTGATTGATTTTTGGTTCAGTTTTGATCAAGCAAGCGTGATTTGGCATTTAATCGGGAATTAGGGTTTTATGGGCATATTCTCAGAAGAATTTGAATTCCACAGCACTTTGCGGTTTATTTCAAGATTCGGATTAAAATTCGCGTTATCTTGGTTTAATCAGTAAAAGAGACGGTGGTTTGAGTTCAGTACGTTTTGATTGGGCCAGTCAGATACAAGATGCAGTTTTGAATTCACAGTGTTTATGTGTTTGATCAGTCTATCTGGGTTAATTGCGGCTTTGCTTTGGATATGGGATAAGACAGGTTAATTGGTCAATGTTGTTTTATTTAAGTTATTTATTATTCTGAAATTAAATGATTGAATTTATTTTTCAATTCTTAATTCTAAGAATTTTAAATAAATAAATAAACAATAAGGAAATTAGAATTAATTGGATAATTTGAATTTTTATTGATATTTAAATTATTTACAAATTGTTGTTACAAACAATAATTTACATTTAATTTAAATATTACAATAGAATGAAAAACTATCCTATTTTCTAAATACTCTTCATTCTTCACTCCGCTCCGGCATTCCATCTCTCATCTGCAAAAAGAAATAAGAAAGTCAGAAAGAATTAAAATTAGCAGAGACGGATAAAAATGCTCATCATTAGGGGCCACTGACTGGGATCAGTTGCCCTCTCTGCAAATCACGGGATTTCTCCCGGTTCACAGAGAGGGAAGATTATTTTATTTTCATGAAATGCAAATGTCAAATGCATAGTTTCTAAAAAATTTGCAAGCTGCATAGATTCAAAATCCAAACTAAACTGAAAAAGTTCAATCCAAACTTTCAAATCCAAAACAAAGTCCACTCAAAGAAAATCAGGAAAGTACTCAAAGCTGTCATGGAAAGACTTTTGCCAAGATATCAAAAAGCAGAAAATCTACACAAACTGTCAAAAGGAGATGCAGTAGTGTATTATGCAAGTGATAAACTCATCATTTCCCATAGGGCCCCTTCAGAACAGTACAGATAAAAAAACATATAAAATTCTTGAACTGTACTTTAAGAGAGAGAAGGAAAGGAGATAAAGCAGCATAGCAGAGATATAGCAGTTCAGCAGCAAGACAGTTCAATAGCAGAAGACAGTAGAGTCACAGAAAAGAGATATACAAAGTCAAAAGGCCAAGACAGTTCAGCAGTATAGCAGGTCAGAATAAGACAGTTCACAGCAAGACAAAGAGGGGGATACAAAATCAAAGAAGCAAACGTAGACAGTGAAAGGGGAGCAAAATATCAGTTCAGAAGAGAGCAACATAGCAGGTGAGAGAGGAGAAAAGAGAGATACTAAAACCAGTCCAGCATTAGCCTAAACTTTCAAAAGCATCACAACCTGCCTAAGTCAAAGAACACCAATATCCTGCCTCACCAGAACCAAACAAAAACCACTACTGTCACAACAAAAACACATAAACCCACAAAAAAAAAACTGATATCCAAACTCAGAAACTCAACCTTTATGCCAAACACAAAAACCTGATATCCAAACTCAAGCATCAAGCCACTACTGCCATAACCAAACAACAATAATCTTCATAACCCAAAACTCCATGTCAAAAACCTTGCAAAACCAGTCTAAAGCCAAGCATCAGTCACGAAACATAACCCAAGCCTACAACCCTGTGACACTGAACATTCAAACACCAAGCCTCAGAAGGGGGACTTCATCATAGGCAACCAAACAGGCAACATCAAAGGCACCATATTTTCAAAAGGGCTCAACAATCTCAAAGCATCATAATCAAGTGTTTCAAAAGGAAAACAAAAGTATTCAGGCAACTGAGACCCTCAGACCTTTGAGGTCATCACAGGGCAAGCACACAAGCAAATCATCCCAAGGCAACAACACAAAAGCAACTGAAAGAGAAGATACAGAAGTAACATCCAAAGACAGTCCAAACCAACAAGCTAGCGAAGTAGAAGAGCAAAGGAACGAAATACCGGAAAAGCTCAAAGCTTCATCACTGGGTCCTCGCCATCAAAACCTCCTAAGCATCCTCGTCTCCTTCCTTCCCTTTTCCAGTAGAGGTATGACATCTCTTTTCCTTCCTAATGCACCTCCAAATAAAAATCAATAACACACCATGAGAGGTCAAACCCCAAGCAGTTAATCAATAAATACGCAGAA